TTGAATGTATTTGAATTTAGATATGAAAAACATTCGACCACAAGTAAAACCAAATAGATTTCTGGTCATCGACTGTAGAAATAGACGTGATTTAAGTGAATATCGTAATGGTAATCTATTAAGTAATTTTCTTTGTTCCACATTTGACCATTGTGATCGGACAATCCAACGATGAATGGATAAACAACAATTTTGATTATATGAAGGCAATTGAGCTATACGAAAATTGAGGCTGGTTATTAAACAAAATATTGTTATTAATATTAATGTAACGAGAGTATTCTGTATATGCATTTTAGTTTGATGACTATAAAATAATAAACAAATTACAACCAAAGATTTAGACATCATTTCAAGAAATAATAATACATATCGAAGTGCTTGATTAAATCGATCAGTTTCGCTATAAAGATATACATATTGGGAATGAAATCGATACCAGAATAATTTCCGTTGTGGGTTTGATGATTGAAATGAATTTTCAAATATATTCCTTGATTTTATTGATAATTGTTTGAAACGAATGCGAAAAAATTCAATGATAAACACAAGGAAACTTAAAAATATGAACGAATCGACAATTATGAAGATACATTGACAAACATATGAGAAAAAAAATATCGATGTCATTAGAAATTTTATCAAACTGATCTGACCACTTTCATATAAATGAAAGGAAAAAAAATTTAACATAAAATTTATAGCCAATACTCCGATGGTGAAAATTCGATATGAAATAGTTGAAATGAAACGTGATTTTTGATAAAATCGTATTAAATAATATCGATATTCAGGTGATAATTCATTATCATCATAATGCCAATATTTAATTAGAAATTCATTGATTTTTGATTTATAATGTATAAATTCATTCAAATGATGATAGTATAAACATTCACGTAGAATAAATACAATAATCATTTCGATTGCAATAAAATCATTTCTTTTTGCATGAACAATTTCATCGAATGTTTCGATACTAATAAAATAATCATTTTGTGGCCATATTACATGAGATAAAAGAAACATTATTGATATCCATGAATTTAATGCCACAATTATGGCACGTTTAATTGATGAAAATGTCCAAGAAATTTTTCTCTGTTCATAATCAACCAAATCATAATCAATACGTAAAGAATAAAATCTAAATGGTTGAAATCCATTTCGAATAAAATGTTTGATTTCAATATTTTGTTCAAATTGTTTGAATAGATTGAAATTCATAATGTTGTTTGATTGCATTGCATTTCAAAATTATAAATGTCATATACAAAATATTCATCAACATTTAATTGAATGAAGAAGAAAATAATTCCAAAAAAAAAATGTTGTTTCAAGTTATTTTAGTTTCATAATGAATTGACGAAAAAAAAACTTTGACAAAAAAGGAATTTTTGTTTTTATTTTTTCATGGAAAACAAAGTTTAGAATCGGTGATGGTTTTTTTTATTGAGAAAAAAAAGACAATTAATAAAACAATCATTATATCATGTACCATGTGAATAATTTTGAATTGATCGATTAATGAAATTAGAAAGAAAAATTTTATTCCTAATGACATGACAGTTATATAAATTACAAATACAATTTTTGTTTTCCAAAGAAAAAACAAGGATGACGAGAGAAAAAAAACTGAATAATATTTAGGTGAAAATTTTTTAATTAATCATTAATTTTTTTTTTAATGAGACAAAAAACATAATGGTTTTAAAGAAATAAATTTGAAAACAAAAACAATCAGTTTGGTTATTTGGTTTGGGATAGGCAAATTTTTTTATAAAATTTAATGGCCATATGAAAATTCATAATAAACA